CTTTTTGTGTTCCAGTTCAGTTTGTTAGTTCAGCAAATCCTTACCATTAAGCTTTTACCCATTTGTAAACCTTTTTTTCGTATCTCTTAAAACATTACAGCTGGAAACCACTTAGTTTCTATCCAACATCCTTCTAAGATTCCTTAATTTTACAATATTTCTGTAAATAGTCTTTAAATTTCTTCCAGTCTTCTTTCACCGACTCTTCTCCCTGGTCTCGGATTCTGCCAGTCATTTCTGCCAATTCCATGTAGTCCATCACCTTCATCTGCCATTCTTCCAGAGTGGGTAGATATTGTGTCTTCCAATACTTTGCAATGAGTATTCTTGCTGCTGTTGTAGCATACATAAAAAAAGTTCTGTCCTTCTTTGGCACCAATTGGTCGACAATGCCCAGAAGAAAGGCCTCTGGTTTCTTCAGAAAGGTATATTTAAATACCTTTTTTATTTCATTATAAATCATCTCCCAGAAAGCCTTAATCCTTGGGCACGTCTACCAAAGGTGAAGGAATGTACCTTCGGTTTCTTTACATTTCCAACATTTATTATCGGGCAAATGATAGATTTTTGCAAGCTTGACTGGGGTCATGTACCACCTGTATATCATTTTCATAATATTCTCTCTTAAGGCATTACATGCCGTAAACTTCATACCTGTGGTCCATAACTGTTCCCAGTCAGCAAACATAATATTATGTCCAACATCTTGTGCCCATTTAATCATAACAGATTTCACCGTTTCATCCTAAGTATTCCATTTCAACAGCAAGTTATACATTCTTGACAGATTCTTAGTTTTGGGTAGGAGGCATGGATTTTATATGGCGGAATTATGCCGAAGTTCATACATTTTGCAAACAGCTGATTACAGAAATCAGTATGCTTATGGGTAAAAATGTGATATTGGATCCTAAGCAATGTTTCTTCGCTTTTTTTAAGGTAAGGCAATTATCTCCTGGTAGCAGCTTAAATAGTAATTGTTCAGGGCTTCAATGACACTAGGCTACTAGTTCAAGAAAGTCATGTTCATTGTTATCTCAGACAAATTCACATGTAATAATATTCAAGCAGCTATGGGAGGATGCTAACCTTTCTGATTTTCCCTCTATTTGGAGGTTATTTATTAACTGTATTAATTAATGCAGTCACATGGGTGGCAAATCCTTTCAAAATACAATTTTTTGGATGTATCTGTAAACAGGCAATACATTTTTCTCTTCTTTTCCTTCCTTTATTGTTCAACATAAGCTGTGCTTTTACACCCCATTTATAACCTTAGAACTATAGTCATTCTATTTACTCCTAATTGGTGACTGTTTGGCTTTACCATTTAAAGCCCCGCATGCTGAATTCATATTATTTTTGGTTGTCAGTGTCTGTTCCCCCCACCCCCTTGTACTGTCTGTTTTATTGTTGTTGTTTTTAAAGCATTGTCCCCACCCAAACCAAAAACAAGTGAGCACTGAAGCCACTTTGAAGTATTTTACAAATAATTTTACAATAAAATGGTGCAGATCAAAGTGCAGCAGAACAGATAATTAGTGCAGCTGGCATTGGGGCATGCAGAAGCTCAGCCAAACGCTTTTCTAAACAGAGCCGTTCTTTAACTGGTGGTGCAAAACCATCAATGATGGGAGTGTCATTCTCTCAGGACAGAAAATTCCTTTGTTAGTTATGAATGAAGTTATTTTGGCGCTGCTTTTCAGCCCACAAAGGGCAGAAGAAGAAGAAGAAGAAGAAGAAGAAGAAGAAGAAGAAGAAGAAGAAGAAGAGGAGTAAAACTGAGAACAGAATAAGAAGCAAGGGGAGGGGGAAAGACTTGCATGACCAATGGCCTAGGATGCTGGGAATTATTGCACAGCAACATTTGGCAGCTTTTACGTATGCCTTAGGCACATCATGTTTAGACTTTTGCAATATGCTCTGCGTGGGGCTACCCTTGAAGAGATTCAGTTGGTTCAAACTGCTCTAGCTAAGCTGGCAAGCAATGTATGGTACTGGCACCATCTGACGGATACCAAAAGATCTGTGCTGGTGGCCATGTGTTTTTCAGGCTCAATTCAAAGCGTTGATTTTTAACTTTGAAAGCCCTAAACAGTTTTAAACTGTGTATTACAGGGGTGACAGCCATAGGGCTATAGGGGGGCAGAAGGCGCCTCAGTCCCCTCAATATTTCAAAGCAGGGGGCTGAACCACCACTACCCAATATTGAGGGGGCTGCCCCCTCTGCCCCTGGGCAAATGCCAGTGTGCAGGTTGGGGGTGGCAGGCACAGAGGGATTCTCCCCCTCCCCAGGAACAAACCTCACTGGAGCCAACTAAAGATAACCAGCCAAGCCCTGGGAGCCCCCAACCTCTCTCACTATCTAGAAAGGTGTGTGTGTGTGTGTGTGTGTGTGTGTGTACAAAAGCATATGAAATAAACGAATAGAGAACCTACTTAAGTGACTCTGGCATAAAACCCCACAAACACACAAAATATGCCACCCCAACCCCCTCTGCCCCTTCTCTCTCCCACTCTTCTTCTTCCTTAGAATCATAGAATCATAGAGTTGGAAGAGACCACAAGGGCCATCGAGTCCAACCCCCTGCCAAGCAGGAAACACCATCAGAGCACTCCTGACATATGGTTGTCAAGCCTCTGCTTAAAGACCTCCAAAGAAGGAGACTCCACCACACTCCTTGGCAGCAAATTCCACTGTCGAAAAGCTCTTACTGTCAGGAAGTTCTTCCTAATGTTTAGGTGGAATCTTCTTTCTTGTAGTTTGGATCCATTGGTCCGTGCCCGCTTCTCTGGAGCAGCAGAAAACAACCTTTCTCCCTCCTCTATGTGACATCCTTTTATATATTTGAACATGGCTATCATATCACCCCTTAACCTCCTCTTCTCCAGGCTAAACATGCCCAGCTCCCTTAGCCGTTCCTCATAAGGCATCGTTTCCAGGCCTTTGACCATTTTGGTTGCCCTCCTCTGGACCCGTTCCAGTTTGTCAGTGTCCTTCTTGAACTGTGGTGCCCAGAACTGGACACAGTACTCCAGGTGAGGTCTGACCAGAGCAGAATACAGTGGCACTATTACTTCCCTTGATCTAGATGCTATACTCCTATTGATGCAGCCCAGAATTGCCTTGGCTTTTTAGCTGCCGCGTCACACTGTTGGCTCATGTCAAGTTTGTGGTCAACCAAGACTCCTAGATCCTTTTCACATGTACTGCTCTCAAGCCAGGTGTCCCCCATCTTGTATTTGTGCCTCTCATTTTTTTGCCCAAGTGCAATACTTTACATTTCTCCCTGTTAAAATTCATCTTGTTTGTTTTGGCCCAGTTCTCTCATCTGTCAAGGTCGTTTTGAAGTGTGATCCTGTCTTCTGGGGTGTTAGCCACCCCTCCCAGTTTGGTGTCATCTGCAAATTTGATCAGGATGCCCTTGAGTCCATCATCCAAGTCGTTGATAAAGATGTTGAATAAGACCGGGCCCAAGACAGAACCCTGTGGCACCCCACTAGTCACTCTTCTCCAGGATGAAGAGGAACCATTGATGAGCACCCTTTGGGTTCGGTCAGTCAGCCAGTTACAAATCCACTGAGTGGTAGCATAGTCAAGACCGCATTTTACCAGCTTCTTTACAAGAATATCATGGGGCACCTTGTCAAATGCCTTGCTGAAATCAAGGTAGGCTACATCCACTGCGTTCCCTTCATCTACCAGGCTTGTAATTCTGTCAAAAAACGAGTTCAGGTTAGTCTGACATGACTTATTTTTCAGAAATCCATGCTGACTATTGGTGATCACAGCATTCCTTTCTAGGTGCTCACAGACTGTTTGCTTAATGATCTGCTCCAGAATCTTTCCTGGTATTGATGTCAGACTGACTGGGCGGTAATTATTTGGGTCCTCTCTTTTCCCCTTTTTGAAAATAGGGACAACATTTGCCCTCCTCCAGTCTGCCGGGACTTCGCCTGTTCTCCAGGAATTCTCAAAGATGACTGCCGGTGGTTCTGAGATCACATCTGCCAGTTCTTTTAATACTCTTGGTGGATGCAGTTCATCTGGCCCTGGAGACTTGAATACATCTAAACTAGCCAAGTATTCTTGTACTATCTCCTTAGTTATTCAGGGCTGTGTTTCCTCTGCTGAATCATTTGCTCCAAATTCCGTCTCATTGGTATTGCCTGAAGTTGTGCTTTTACTATCTCCCTCTTAACAAACTCCCAGCCATCATGAACTCCCTTTCCTTTTAGTATTACTAAAATCACCTTATTCTGTATAATGTCTCACATCAAATGTAAAAAAGGACTATACAACTTGAAAAAAGACAATGCACACTTTTTGTAAACCATGAAAATCTTTAATAATTTTTTAAAAAAGCAAAAAACAACCACTAGTCCTAATGGATCTACATTGGTTTGCAGTACATTTCTGAGCCTAATTCAAAGTTTGTGTGCTGACTTTTAAAGTCCTAAATGGCCTTGGTTCTGTATACCTGAAGGAGCGTTTCCACCATTCAGCCCGGACACTGAGGTCCAGCTTCGAGGGCCTTCTGGTGGTTCCCTCCCTGCGAGAAGCGAAGTTACAGGGAACCAGGCAGAGGGCCTTCTTGGTAGTGGACCCCACCCTGTGGAATGACCTCCCACCAGATGTCAAAAAGAAGAACAACTACTAGACTTTTAGAAGACATCTGAAGGCAGCCCTGTTTAGGGAAGTTTTTAATGTTTGATGTTTTATTGTGTTTTTAATACTCTGTTGGGAGGCACCCAAAGTTGCTGGGGCAACGCAGTCAGAGGGGCAGCATATAAATATCATTATTATTCTTATTACTCATCATTTTCAGCCATATGATTCCACTGAGCTACTGGTTAAAGATAATCACATGGCACATAATCACATGGCAGATTCCAGTTACTCTTTGGGCAGAGACTCACGGAGCATTTTAAATGGTTCTTGGCCTCAGTCCCCTGTTGCAAAATCCATTTGGAAATGGTAACATGGAACAGGCTGTGTTTGCAAAAGCGATTCCTGACAATGCATTTTTTAAAAGTGTATGTCTGTATAGAGAAAGTAGCAGCAATAATATTTTTAAAAGCCAACCAAGCATTTGTAGCAGGTGTGTGTGTGTGTGTGTGTGTGTGTGTGTGTGTGTGTTAGAGAGAAAATAGATGCACTAGAAGGTGAAGAGACCCATTTCCCCAAGACAGCCTGTCATCAATTGCAGGGATGGAGAGAGGGGCTGAAGTGGAGGGAAGCAATCTTTTGTCAAAGCCCACTGAAAGGTTTGCAGTAAAAGAAATTAGCTTCTGTGTGCTAACAGCCTGGGTTCAGCTTGTTGGCCTAAACCTCTGGCACACATCATTGTCAGATATTAATTTCGCAATCCCTCTGCTGGCAAAAAGGGGAGGAAATCTCCTATTTGCACAATCTTATCTCCCATCTAAGGCTGAATTTCCAGAACAGCCAAATAAGGAGAAGAAGCAGTTGTGCAAATTGTATCTGCTAAAGAGGAGAAAGGGATCATCACCCAAGACATCGCTCAGGGTCTCAGTTGTTCCCCAATTCATGGGCCAATACACATTGGTCCACCAGGAAGCTATAAGTGCCTGCTATGAGGTACAGTAATCCATACCAGAAGACCGTTCGACTTCCAAAACATTTAACAACCGAGGCGCAATGGGCAGTCGGCAAATTCCATTGAGAAAAATGGAGAAATGCACCTCAGAAGCCGTTCGACTTCCGAGGCACATTCAAAAATGGAAACATTCACTTCAGGGTTTTTGGCATTCGGGTTCCAAATCATTCAGCTTCTGAGTCACTCGAAAACCAAGGATCCACTATCCTGGGAAGACACATCAGGGGCCAATGAAACCTAGGGATCAGATCAAATCAGAAGAATCTTTATTTGCATCAGCCACTAGCCATAGCAATAAAATAAAATAAAATGTACTGAAGATAGAGGTAAAAACTTAACTATACAAAATACATTTTTGAGGTTTACATCAAAATAGATCTTACTCTAATTGCCCCCACTAAAAACTTTGCAGTTTTTGCTGTCACCTGATCATCTTGCTCTGGAAAGGATGCAGTAGCAATGGTTGAGTGACCCGGCATGGACAATAGTAGAGGGGTAATAACCTCACTCCTCAAATCTTTATAAAGAGTGCAAGCCAGAAGCACACGAGCCACTGAGTCAAATACTGCCATCTCCACAGGGACATAACCATTTTTCCAGCGGAATTTTTTGAAATCGACCTTCAAGTACAGCCAAAGGCAGTATATTCAATCTTGTGAAAGTGAAAGCGCACCTGTATTTTGGAATTGTTAAATTTTGCAAATAGGGTTCCAAAGTGTCAAAATGACTAGGCGGAAAATAATGAAACCTAGGGAAGTTTTCACAAAAGAGAAAGTGGTCACCCAAGCTTTGCTGTTCTGGAGCATCACTTGCATAATGATCGGAGAAGGAATACTAGACTCAGGCAATAGAAGCATAGAATCATAGAACTGTAGAGTTGGATGGGACCCCAAGACTCATCTAGTCCAACACCCTGTAACACAGGAATCTCAGCTCAAGCATCCCTGACAGATGGTCATCCAAGATCTGTTTACAAACCTCCAGCAAATGGGAAAACACTTCCCATGGGAGTCCGTTCCACTGTCAAACAGCTCTTACCATCAGAAAGGTCTTTCTAATGTTTAGTTGGAATTTCTTTTTTTGTCATTTCAATCTGTTGGTTGGGGTCCTGCCCTCTGGAGCAGCAGAAATCAAGTTTGAAAACGGCTCTCATATCACCTGTCAGTCTTCTCTTCTCTAAGACGGTTGGATGGAGTCTTGTATGCCTCCTTCCAGCAACTCCAACAGCCAAGCTGGTGCCCTTTGTCTTGCTCTGCTTTCATTTGGACCAAACCAGTGAGGCCAAGACAGGTGTCTTGCATTCTGGGGAGCCCAGCATGCCCATACACGATGCCCAGGTTTGCACCCTGGGGAGCTCACTTCAGTGCTTCTAATGCAGCAGTTTGACTTCACCCCAGATGCACACTCCACTGTCTCTCAAGACAGACGTATGCCAACAAGAAGGACCATCTTAGTCATTCTCTGTAACTCATCAGCACAGCAGAACCAGGTGGGATCCATAAGAACTCTTGCCAGAGGTTTGTTTATTCAGTCTGAGCAACCACACTTGGTATGTTTTATTTAACCCTGCTCTGCCCCCCTCCAGACTGTAGCCTCTTGGAATCTGACTCTGCCTGGACTTGGCTGTGTACCTGCCTCTGGTGCTTCTGTTCTTGGGTTGCTGATCTAGACATTTACTTCTACTCTGTGCTCATTTCAAGCCCTTCCAACTGATGCCTTCCATGTATCCTGCAAATCCCTAATGTATACATTCTTTCTCTCACTCCATGCTTGAGCATCAATGGCACAACAAAAAAGATCCAAAGATCTTATGCAACTTTTAACTGGTGATGACATGCTCCAATCTAAAAGTTTCAACATTAAACATAAAAGGGTTGGGATCTGTTCACAAACAGGCTTGGCTTGCAGCTCATTTGCAAGCAGCAAAACCAGATATAACATTTCTACTGGAAACTTGGGGCATTTTCCCCAGCTGCAACTCACTGGACCTCATTTCTGGCCCCTCTCAGGTGGGCGCCATTGCCATTCTAAGAGAACAAGAGAGGCATCAATGGTGAGTTCCAACACCTCTTTTTCTAGAAAAATAGCACTGAGGAAACTATGATAATCTAAAATTAAAATATAATTTATTTATTTTTTTAAAATGATATTTATTCAAAATTTCATCAATACATAGACACAAAAAGAAAAACAAGAAACACAGAGAAGAAAAAAGAAAAATATACAGCAAAAAATAAAGCAAAAGGAACCCCCCCCAAAAAAGAAAAATACAAATCTCAGATTGCAACTTTTCATTTGCTTAATTCTTGAACCTCCTCACACCTCCCTTTTTGTATTCTAGTTTAATTCATTATTTCAGCAAATTCTTCCCATGTTTCTCAATTTTAATTTAAATGATTAATCTTCACAATCTCTCCTATTTATTAATCAAGATAACCTTTCCATCTTTTAATATAGTCTGTTATTCAATTTACCTTAATCTCTTTAACCTTATCTTATCTTAAGAATCTTAAAATTTCAAGATTTACCTCATATTCATACATATCTCCTTAAAATCATTTCTACTAAAGCCAATTTAATTCCTTCGCCGCGGCGGGAAGACCCAATTTCCACAGAGCCCATTCCTCCGATTGGAGGAACTCCGCCATTCGTCGTTGGCGCTGACCCGGAAGTCTCTAAAATTAAAATATAATTTAAAAGGCATGAGTTGTGGAACAATATGCCTCTTCTGGTTCTTTGAAAGCCTGAGAAACAGTAGTATGGATGGCAAAGAAATGTTCAGTCCTGTTGGAGCAGTCTGGGGAGTTTTGCTCTCATTCTCTGCCACAGTGATAGTCAATGTGGTGTCTTTTGGATGTCTTAAACTCCAGTTCCCATTACCCCTAACAATTGGTCATACTGGCTGGAGATGATGGGATGATCAGTGCTTTTTTTCTGGGGGTACTCAGGTGTACGCAGCACTGGCACCTCTTTTTTCCCAAATGTTAACAGCATGGCACTTACTGTACTGTCGGGCCGCTAATGCTGGGGGCATCCTCTTCCAAGGCCCCTGTGGGGTGGCATGAGAAGGCACCTCTTGTCTGGCAGGGGGTGGCTCAGGGACCAAGGGCAGCTGCAGAGGACCCAGAGGACTCCCAAGGAGAGGAGAGAGGAGAGGGGAGAGGAAGCTGAAGAAACACTCCACAAGGGAGGGTGTTCAAAAAGGGATGAGGGGCTGCCAGCTCTGCAGGCAAGGGGGTTTCTGAGGCTCAGGATGTGTTTCCCCACTGGGGAGCCACAGAAAGAATGTAGTTGGTCATGGGAGCCATGGACTCAAAAAGGTTGAAAACCTCTGCCTGTGAGAACTGAGAAACTTGAGGACCATCACAGGATACTGAAATGTTTATTTATTGTTAGGATTTCTTCTAAATGCCCAAAGAACAGCAAGAGACTTTACATAACGTGAAATTAAACCAGGATGTGCTCTCAGGATAAGTCTAAATAATTAAGGTTGTAAAGCACACAGAAAATGAGAACTAAAGGAAAGTGGTTTGTGTACAGAGAGGCCCTTAAGCAGACCTGAAAACACAGATAGGTTTTTGCGTACTTCTGAAGTTTTATCTTTTCTCTGTTTCCTTAAGTAGAACCATGCAAGTTATGTAAAGATACATGATGGGTGATTAAATCTCAGTGGAAATGTTAGCAATTATTTTCATATTTTAGAAGCTGTTATTATACCCAGCCACATTTCAATGGGTGTTTAGTGCGTCCAGGAAATTTTCTTCCTGACAGTCTTTTGTGTACAGAAATTGGTCTTTCATAATTTGGTAACTATAACTAGCCACTGGAAGATCCAAAGGCAGGCACTTAAAAGTCAACACAATCATCATTTTCATTTTAATAATTGCTGCAGAACTAATCTCTACATGAGTTGCTGTACTCAGTAGAAATTTAGCAGGGAAAGTTCCCAAGGAGGGGCAAAACCTTTTAGAGACAGAGCAATACAGATCTGACTTCTCAATTTCAAAGTTGATATGAGACTCCATTGTTCACATACTTTATCAATACATTTCATCAGAGAAAGCAATAATCACAAATAAATCAAGATCAAATAGTGGAGTGGAGTGGAGTCTCAGAAAGTGGAGTTGTCCCTGGAGGTCCTGCAAATCTCCGTGTAGAACTGTATTTAGGGAAAACAGCATACAAAAAAATTGTATGCTGAAAGAAATTCACACTAAGATGCTGATTACTCCTCATGATGACTTTATTTTTTAAAATGCAAACTGATGTGGATATATCGAGAGCTGAACTTCAGACTGGAAAACAGAGAAAGACCAAAATCAACAGCTTCACCCATTCCTACTGGGACACAGTTTGCGTATTCCAGAAATGCCACTTCTCTGTTGTCCACCTCCACAATCCTCTCTTCTCAGAGCTAAACACAGCCAGTTCTTCCTTCAACCTTTCCTCATCGAACTCATTTCCTGTTCAACTTACCCTCTCTGCTGCCCTCCTCTGAACCCATTTCAGCTTTTCTATATCCTTCTTAGAGTTTGGTGACCAGAACAAGTTGCACCACTGGAAGCAATCCTGTTCTGAGTCACCAGCAG